ACTCAATTTTAGATTTGTAACGATTAATTCATAATTTAAATATTTACGGCTCAGGTTTCCTAAAAGAAAAAACTCTCCAATAAAAAAACGACAAAACACCTTTTTTTTTCGCATTTTTTATGTTGTTGGTGTATAGTGCTCGATGCGTCCATATTATTATTACAAAATGAAATGCATTTGAGTATAATTATTTATAATTAAAAATATTTTATTGGATTTTAATCACATGTTATAATTACATTTTTTTTTTTTTTTTGCTAAATAATAGCACTCATACAATTGTCATGAAAAAGGTAAAAATTTAAATTTTTTTCTTTAAATACTTATTTTCAACTTTCAATAAGTATTTAAATAGATTGTCAACATTTTTAAATTCAGAGTACTCATGATAAGCTTTAACGCACGGTAAAGTCAAGGTGCACGTGATAGTTTTCGAAATATCGCGCCATAATTTTACTGCGCGACACTCGTGTGTTGTGCTCTATTCATTTTAATGTACTTTAACAAAACGCGCAGTAAAATTACGGTGCGGTAAAAATGACGCGCGGTAAAATAACGCTAGTGTGTTGCCAGCCTAATAGTTAGTTTTCAATCTGACAACGTTGTACACAATATTTTTTTTTTTACCGTGCTCAATCGGGTCGTCAAAAAGGTCGGCCGATAACGACCGTGCTCAATCGGGTATCACCGGAAAATTACACCGATTTCGCTATTGTTAGTAATATATGAATACTATATATATTAAGATCTATATCCAAATATTGAATTTGCCCCTCAAATATTTGTCTCAATATCAGTTATTAACTGTACCACCAAACGTTCGTTTTCGGTTTTAAAAAGAATGAAGAATTATTTACGATCAACAATGTTGCAAGAAAGATTAAATTTCTTGATTATATTAATTATAGAGGGTAACTTAACGTCATCATTAGATTATGAAGACATTATGGATGATTTCTCCAGAATGAAACCTAGAAAAAAAACCTATTTAAACTTTAAAATCATTAAAATCATAAATAAAATTAAATCATCTAAATTTTAAATAATAAATAATAATGAATTTATAAATTTTATATAATATTAAATTATTTACAACATGTTTTGTTTTTTCTAACTAACAGATGATAATACATTTGAATCCGTATTTTTTTTTAATAAACTTAAATGAAAAAATAATTGCATATTAGTTATCGAAATAAAAAATGTATTTAAGTATATTTTATTACGTAAAATTTATTTTTTCTGGATTGTAGCGGCAAATTAAATTTTGCATAGGGGTGGAAAATTGTTAAATCTGCCCCTGCTTCCAAGTATAATTCATCATTGCTTAAAATTATTATTGTCATGGTATTTTCCTGGCTAATTCTATAAGTTTATTATATAACTATAACTTTTATCTATATTATTTATTTATGTATATATATATTTTCTTTTACTGATGACAACTTTTTATTTATCTGAACTTTTCAGGAGATTGAAAGAATGGATGAATAATTTCTGTAATACTGTTTTAAATTTTGTATTAATAAATTCAAAACCAGATAGCGTTCTAAGTTACATATTCAATAGATATTCCATTGAAATATTTTTATTTGTCGAAATTTTATCTGTGGTATTCATTCTTCCTTTATTCATAGTAATACAAATAAACTAAAATATTGATGAATTCTAAATTAATATTCTTTGAAAAAGTAAATTATGGTAAATAATATAACAATATACGAGTATATGAAAATATTACAAAAATATATTGGATAACAATAAAACTAAATAAATACCTAAAATAAATGTGTAAAAATATAATACAAATTACCTACAAATAATATTTAAAAAAAAAATAATGTATATATCTATATATGTTATAGTTAATGCATTGAATTCCGTTATTTTATGAAATATCTAGGTAGTTCATGAATTACCTACTAATGTTAATTAAAGTATGAAATAATACATTAAAATGATACTTTAACTAAGTAGTTATTTCATAGAATATCTAGTTTCTCTATACAATTTTAGTTTAATATATGTTACAGTGAATGGTGTAAATGTCATAATAAAGAACTCGAGGAGCTGTTCCAGAGACCGAACATCATGAATGAAATCAAGAAACGGAGATTGACTTGGGAAGGACATGCATGGCGAAGAGTGGGATCCATAGTCGGAACAACAATCGAAGATAACCCGGTCGGTAAGAGACCCCTAGGAAGGCTACGCTTACGTTGGGAAGACCGGAGTTGCCCGATTGCGGCCCGAATCCAGGTAGTCGTATTTTATCCCAAATAGAAGTATCCCGATTGCGTCCAGACACACATTGGTTCACAAAATGTTTAATATTTATTTTAAAAGTATAATTACAAGATTGCAGTAACAAATAGTAAAATAGTAAAATAATACATTTTTTACAATATAAAATATATGAAATACAATTATGTCAGTAAATAGTCAATAAATAGTCGAATATTAAAGACTGTGTAAAAAAGGACGCGGGAAGCATTGAACCAGAAATACCATGGAGAATAGCAGTAGAAGATAGAGATAGATGGAGAGAAATTTGTTTGGCGGTATGGTATCAATGACCGTAAACCAATAAAATAAAATATTTTACAGTGTAATATATGCTATAACATTTCATTCATTTTAAATGTAATTAATTATTTATTTGTACATTCAAGGCTATTGTAGAGACGAACCAATACTGAACGCTTGTGACTGTAAAACTATTACTAATACATGTACAACAATAATTTTATCTACACGATAAACGTACTTGAACAATGTAGTCACCGACAACAAGAACGGCAGTTCTATCTAATTTATTGTTGTGATGGGAAGTAAAATAACTATATTGTACATGCATAATTATATACATTTGACACATTAACGAAGTAATGTTAGGGAATGCTAAAATAACTAGTTAAAGTATAAATTATATACATTACCTAAACGTTTTAGTTATTTTATAAATGTTCTAGTTATTTCATAAGCTAACTGAATCAATACTTTAACTGTAACATACCGTATATCTATATACTCGTAATATCCAAATACCACTGACTCACTTATTGCTGTATTTCAAAAACTACTCAGCGTACGTACTTGAAATTTGGTTTTTCAAATACTTTCACCATGCAATAAGAAAAATTTTTAAAAAATATTATGTTTAAGTGGTTTAATTAATAATTATTCACCGCCAATACGTATTGTGATGCACAGTGATGGCTTGCGGGTTTCCAGCTAATGGTAACCTATTCTTTTTGTTCGTCAATTATGTGTTTGATACCGTCGTGTAAGTATGAATTATTCACGCTCGCTCTTGCCTATTATAAAAATAAAATGCACACAAATAACATAAGACAAAAAACAAACAAATTTTATTAATCTTATTTCTTCGTTGCATAGCCGCAGTGTCTGCATATTCTAACGAATGATTATTTAATTTGTACGCCGTACTACAAACAGATCAGACGCGCACGATATACTATAAATTATTTTATAATAATACGTTTGGTAATATTAACCGTGCCGCGGTGCCCGTAAACACATAAAACTCATCGGCGTTTACAGTGTCATAGAATCCAGGTCCGTACTGGTCCACCGGGACACCGGGAGTTTTCCCAGTGCGCCCCATGATCAATTTAGAAATTAGCGCCCCTCTTCCCATTTTTTTTATATAATTTTAATATATATTTACTATATATTAGAGTGTACCTATTTTTTTATATGTGTATTATATTATACAAATTATATATTTTGAAATTGTAATGCATAAGTATTAGTATTACTACTGTTACAGTAATATTATGTAAATAATTGTTTTGTTATCATTTATTATATTATAACTATTGAACTAGTTATAGATATGACTTGTGAAATCCGAACACCATAATCGATGTAAGACGTGTGTGTATATTGATTATTGTGTTTATTTCGGTTTTTCCACAGACCATATAAAATAGAACCATGAAGTATGTCGTAATTTTGTTTTGATAATACTTTTTTATCATAATAGAAAATAATATTGGATTATTGACAATTGTATTTTTGTCCTATTTTTTCGTGAACTATCGTCAATCGAAAACCTCGATTATTACGATTTACTGCCTGTAAGACGTTATACTTATACGTAAGGTAAGAATATACTTGAAATAATTGTTATTATTAGCCATTAGGTTATCTTAAATACATTATACACTAGGTGATTCGAACGCGGATGCGCAATTAATCGCTCAGAATTAAACTTACGTACATACATAGTGTTTCTGAAATGCGTGAGTACGCGGTATACGCATATTCACTGTGATGCCACTGTCATCCCATTGAAGATTTTTTTGAAATTCGATTTATAACTTCAAAATCTAGATATTTTAAAATTATTATTGGAATATTATGTTAAATGTTAAAATAAACACATAGTCGTAATTTTTGCAAAATTCTCAAACGAATCGAGATGTCGCATTTTATTTATACTTATTATAGTGAATTGATCGTACTCCTTATGGCTTACATAAAGAACATTAATTATTGATTTAATTAGAGCTCAATTCAATACTTGTCATTGAACGATACTTAAAATATTAAAATTTGTTATTATTATTTTTGGGCAATGGCGTACGAGGGCGTTTTGTCACGTTGAATCGCAATAGTTTAATTTTGAGAGAGAACTATCTAAAATTAAAACATGCATTTCCATTATTATTATTCACACTGTACGTTTAAAATCCGCATTTATTAATTAATTAACTTTGTTAATTGAAAATATTCTTTTTATCCATGTAATATTTTATATTTGTATACATACTTTTTAATAATTATTAAAAAACAATTTTATTAAATAAATAAAAAAGTTAATAATAAATACGTTATTGTAGAATAGGAGAATTTCTAGTATTAATTGGGCACGTAAAATGTCAATAAATCTATAATTGTCGTACCAAAAGTGCACACGCGCCTGCTGAAAGGTTAATGTACATTTTTCAAGTATTTTAATATATTTAGTTTCTATGGATTCAAAAAAGAAAAAGAAGAGTGGTTACGAATATCGGGTGGCCAAGAAAATGAAAGCATTTCAAATGTCTGCTAATTCTTCTCAAAAAATAATTTATTTTTATACAAATAACGTTGTTGGAGAATCAAGCCAAACTTCCTTAGAAAACCCAAAACCAGATGAACGAGATCAGATCAACGAAAATCAGAATGAAAAACTAGAGTTAGCAGAATTAGAAAAAATACATGAAATAACAACTAAAGTTAAAGTAAAAGAATCAAATATAGATTTTCTTAAATATAAAAATCAAGATGCGGAAATCAATGAAAATTCAAAAGAAATATTGGTAGAAACAATAGAAATAAGACAAGAACATCATCAAGATATAACTGGAGAAATTGTGCAAAAATTATTCGCTAATGAAAAAATCGATGAAGTTATAAACTATTTTTGTAAGCCGAAAAGTATTGATATAGTCAACTTTTTTATTTTTCATCCAATTCAACCGACCAATTCTTCATTAATTTCTTTACCATTTAATGAAAAAATATTTTTTAGTGACCAAGGGGATTGTAAATTTAATCGTAAATGGTTGACATATGATGAAAACAATCAGAAGCTCTTTTGTAGTGTATGCTTAGCTTATAGCGATGGAAGTTCTAAGTTTTGCTCTGGATTCAATGACTGGAAACATATAAGTCAACGAATTAAAGAACACGAAATATCAAAACATCATAATTCATTGGTCAAAGCATACATCAGAGAAAAAAGGGAAAAGACGGTTCAACATTTATTGTGTGGTGAACAATTGCAAAAAAGAAAAATTGAAGTTAATGAAAGGCGATGTGTACTATTGCAGATTATTGAAGTCATAAAATTAATTGGTAAGCAAGGATTACCATTTAGAGGCGACAAAAGTGAAGCAGCTTATAAATTAGATGATTCCTCGTTAAACCATGGCAATTTCTTGGAAATCATTTTATTATTGTCGAAATCTGATAATATATTAAAATCTCACATAGAAAAATCGATTAAATTAAGTAAGGAGCATCATGATAGAGCACAAAATATAAATATGAAAGCATTGAAGACCACTACTAAAATTGGAAGAGGAAATCTAGTTACATTTCTCAGTGCAACTACAGTAACTACAATAATAAAGTTGATTGGTAAAGAAATTAAAAATATGATCTCAAGAGAAGTTAAAAAAGCCAACATATTTTCTGTTATGATGGATACAACAATGGATTTATCATCATATGATCAATGCTCGATTGTCCTTAGATATGTACCACATAATGAAGTATGTGAACGGTTAATAGGGCTGAAACACGTAACTTCGACGTCTGGGAATTCACTATTTGAAACTTTAAAGGATACATTGGCTGAACTTGATTTACCACTGAATAATTGTGTGGCGAACGCTTTTGATGGTGCGGCTAACATGAGTGGTCATTACAATGGTGTAACCGCTAAATTGTCTGAAGTAATCACTAATCATGTTCATACATGGTGCTATGCGCATGTATTAAATTTAGTTCTTTCTGATACAACTCAATGTTTGACTCCTTGTATGTCATTTTTTAATCTTGTTCAAGAGGCATTCGTATTTTTTAAGGAATCCTATAAAAGGTTAGCTGTGTACCATAAAGAAAAATCCATCACTAAAACTAGCTGCTAGTGTAGCAACTAGGTGGAGAAGCAGAAATGACGCAATTGTTAAAATATTTGGTAGGATTGATTTTTGGATTAAAGGTGATTTAAGTCCAGAAAATGAGTCAAAATTTGCTTACATTCAACTATTAGTAGCTCTATACGAAATATCAATTTCTAACCAATTTAATTCAAAAATTAGAAACGACAGTCTTAGTTTAATGAAAAAGTTTTGCTCTTATGAAACCGTTTTAGTCGCAATGATGTTTCTGCAGATATTTAAAATAACAACACCGTTATCCGATTACCTTCAAACAAAACATCTAGATTACATTCAAGCCTGGCGTCATGTTTCTAGTGCCCATAAAAGCTTACAATCAGTTAGAAACCGTTTTTGTGATATAACAAAAGCTGCTAAAACATTCGTAGACTTTGTAGTTAAAAAAATTGATGAAAAGGAGCTTCGTGATATTGAAATAGAAGAAAACCTTCCGAAGAAACGCAAACGCACTGTGAAACGTATGGACGGTGAATTAACCCGAGATGAAGAAGTTTCCACAGAAGAAATCGATCAATTTTGTATAAAAATATTTAATTTTACAATGGACACTATTATAAATAGTTTAGAGGTACGATTCTTAGCTCATCGGATTTTATATACAGATTTAGAATGTTTCGACCCTCAAAGGTTTGATGATATAAGAAAAAATGGTTTATTATCTAATGCTTTATTTAAAATATGTGAACTTTTACCCTCTATTGATCAGCCAAAGCTCAAAGAAGAACTTATTCCTTTTGCTACATCTTGGCCTTTAATTTGTGAAGTTGGTTTACAGAGTACGTATGAAGATTCAAGTCAAATCGATACCGTTGATGATGATGAATGGGCTAATGAGGACGATTTAAAGTGTAGTAAAGTAAAAGAGTGTAATGTATGTCTATCATACGCATTGCGTATAATCACTGATTATAACATGTATTCCTTACAATACACGGAATTGTACAAAGCATATAAATATTTATTGACTCTGCCTCTGACACAAGTGACCTGTGAAAGGTCATTTTCAAAATTAAAATTGTTAAAAACGCGATGAAGGTCCACTATTGTGCAAGACAATTTAGAATCATTATTCTTAATGCAGTGTGAAAGAGACATAGTAAATCAAGTTGATGGAAATCAAATCATAAATGCTCTATGTTTGAACAGTAAAGAAATGCAACGTCTACTCACATAAAAAGATATAAGTTAATTCTTAAGTTTGTGTACTTTTTTTTGATTAATTAAAAAGCTGTTACGGTTTATGTTTTTATATCAAATATAAATTAAATTAAATTTTAAAAGTAACTGCACAATTTATTTTCTTAATTGTTAAAACAACTTACCTACTATGGAAAAAAAAACTGAATAAAACACTATGAAACATATTATTTTTATTTTTATTTTGTTAAAAATCGCAGAATAAATCATAATTTGTGTTTAACATCTTCAGGTGGTAGTTTCAAGTTTCTAAACAAAACAATCATAGGTAGACATTATAATTATAGACACTAATTTTTCTTTTGAAGTGGTATATTTATAATTATAGTTGACGCCCTATAAATATATTTTTCCCGCGCCTCTTAAAGGTAGCCAGTACGGGCCTGATAGAATCTCATCGTGCTATGCATACGGTAGAAGACGGTTATTATTTTTTTATTCACTGTCGTATCTCATGAATGGTACCGTCTCACTTGCGCCTCATTTACGGGTAAATGTCGTACAACGCATTTGTAACAAATGGCAACGGTTTTAACTGTACAGCATGATACCATGTGGTAATATTTTACTCTAATTTAATTATGGAAAGACAAAGGAAAAATAACTACATGGTACTAGACTGTAGTCTTCTTCTCAGTCAGTTTTTGGTTGATACATACGCTAAGATAGAAACAGTAAGACTGAATTTCATTAGAAACGACCAAAGTAAACTGATAGTTGAAAATGATGTGCATCTTAAAGGCGCAATGTGTATAGGATATGGACAAGTTTCAGAGATTAGTAAGATAGTTGTGTTACCTTCCATTATCCCAGAAGGACCCCTTTATATGGACGAGAAAAACCAGGACGTTATGACATGAGTTCGCCGTTCTAATGGCCGTCCTGGAATTTCTGATCCTGAATTTGACCCTCTTCTTTGTAGCATTGTAAAAACCATTATAATTTAAATTCCATGTGGCAATATAAATAGAAACTCACCATGCATGCTCAATGGTTCATATTTGTGTTGTTCACTTTGATTTTGTACCAATTACGTTTTAAAAATGACGATAAAAAATCAATGATTTTATTTATATTCCAAGAATTTATGGAATATCATATTATACATAGTTCGTTATTGGTGCTTGTCCCGTTGTTTGACTGAAGGCATCAAAGATATGTATAAATATATATATATATATATATATATATTTATAACTGTGGGAGACATCAACTAAAGATAACACTTTGATTTTCTTTGTATACCTAACTGAACATAGTATTAAATTTATATTTTTCACTGTTAATAATTATTGTTGAACTATTCACTATGACAGTTGCCGATAAGTAAGAACGTTCAGTTTTGTCTTTTAATGTGTGGTGTTATCGATTAGGTACATAGAGCATACGCTTATACGCAAACAGGCCGTTTTGAGTTGAGTCTTATTCTTGTCGTTTTTTTAAACATTCCGTCATGAAGAGAGGTATACTTGACAATTATTTTAAAACAACTTCTAAAAAGTGTGTGACTAATGTGGAACCAGAAAGTGAATACATAGTTATCGGAAAAAACTTAATAGCAGATGATTCATCGAGTAGTTCAACTCTCAGGGACGAACGCAGAAAAAAAACTTCGTAGGGGGAGGAAGGGTTTGAAAATATTTTAAAATATTCATCAATATTATATTATTGTATTGTATATTTAAATTTACAAACCCGGGAAACTTATAAATAACTAATAATTTATTTTATTTATTTGTTAGTAATACATTTGTAGATCAGATAATTTATTTTTTGTTCCTGATATTTAGGGTGGTAAACCCCCCTGAGTTCACCCCTGTCAACTCTAGTGTTAAAGGAAGCTAAATATGTGAGTAATTCTATTTTTTATGATTTGAACTTTTTATTTCTTCCAATATTATTGATTTTGTGTTAAACCTCTCCCAAACAAAAATTCTGGGTACCTTTCTGACTGTGATGCATCTTTATAACATTAAAAAATTTACTTTAAAACTCATAATGCCTCAGAGAACGTCCACAATCCTAATAAAACTACATTTTTAGGATTCTTTGAGTTTTATAAAAATTATTCTTTTACAAGAAGGCTTTATTACAGCTAAGTTCCAGCTAATATTATTTGGAAAAAATAATAAGTTTAGCCGTAGAAAGCAAGGAAAGGATTATCATCCAGGAGTCAATCAAGATCATGTGATTGGTATACTGTGCATCCTAGAAATGCCGAATACTATTACATGCTATTTTTACTTCATGAAGTACGAGGACCGACTGGTTTTAATGATTTCAAATTGGTGTCAATAATGTTTCACTCATCTTATCAATCTGCCTGCCAACCTCTGGGGTTGTTGATAAACTTCATTGGGACTGAATTGTTGAAGAAGCCACTATTTCTGATTCCCCATAAAAAAATTCATCAACCATTTGCTGTTTTATTAGTGTTTTGTTTGTTAACTGACCCGTTAAAACTTTGGGAATAGCTAAATAGAGCATGTTAGAAAATGTAAAAAGCCAACTCGTAAATTATTACCTACAAATTGATATTGAAACCATTTGAACGTTGTTTACAACAAATACTTAGTGCTGCTAAAACAGGTCGTGTTTTCGATAGTTAACCACTCATTTCATTAGTTCGGACATACTTTGCCGTCTCATGATGCGAATGATTGTCAATCGTGATCAGTGTGGGGACTATCTAGATAAAATTATCCAAAAGATAATCTAGATGGCGTTCAAATTATCATTCATCTTTTATCTAGATAAATCTATAAGTATCTTTATCTTATACTTATTCTTTTGCGTTTTTTCGTTGATAGATAATAGATGTTAAATCCAGTAAAGTGGTTATTTTTTTTTATTAAAATAAGATTTTATTATTTTATTTAGCCGTTTTTCATAATTTGTCATACAATAATAATTGAAACATGACGTTTATATGCATTTTAAATTTAAATTATTACATTAAAAAATATTTTAATACAAATTCTAGTACAACCAAAAGTTAAATACTTATATACTAGTATATTATCTTCATACGACTTTATGTTAACTTATATAAACAAATTTAATTTAGTTAAAAAATCATGAATAATGTTAGGCCACTTAGTAATCAATACTTGTACAAGTACATTAAAATATAGGTAGGTATAATAAATAATAATTTAAATTAATCTACATCTGTTAATCATTTATTAAACTGTTTGCTTTTAAGAATAATAAGAATATTCTATCAAACCTTAAGGCATTAAATAAAAAAGTTATTTTAAAAATATAGCCAAGAGTCAGACCTTAAATGCTATTTTAAATAATTTTCTTTTATCTTTTTATTTCATCTAGATAACTGAAAGATTATCTTTTATTTTTATCTTAGATAAACCTTTAGTCATTATCTTTATCTTTAATCTAGATAAAAATATTGGTTATCTTTCCCAACACTGATCGTGATTATTTGAGAGAAATGTCTTACGTGTAGAACAGCTTTTTAAATCAGTTCATTTTAATATAATAAAGCTTAATCCTGAACAAAGTCATATTTATTTTGAATTTATAAGAAGCATTAATTCAGATTCTGGATGAGTTTTTTTCTTAGATATTTCTGGTGGAACAGGAATTTTTTTTATGAATCTGTTGCTTACTAGCGTAAGAATGCACAAAATAATTGTGATTTCTGTCACTTCCTTTGGAATAGCAGCTATTTACTAACTAATTAAAATTTACATAGGTATTGGTTTTGATCGGTGATAAGATTTTGATATACATATAAATTTATCCAGAGAAAAGGGTAGGCACTCAAATTTTACAATATTTCAGTAGAGCAATTTTCAAGGTTTAAACTTAAATTTACTTTTTTGTGAAATTTGTTTCCTTGTTCTTTTTATTGAATATATATTACCACTAAAATTATTTTATTTATTTATTTTTTTTTTTTTTAATGACCACAGTTATTTTATAATAAAAAAAAAAAAAAAAAAACTTAAGTTACTACTTTTATTGTGGGTAAATGTTATGCATTATTATTAAAATAATAATATTTATAAATCAAATAATTAAATTAACATGAAAATTAAATACATTATAACTAGGCTGAGATTTTGATGTAAATGCATATTTTTTTTTAATTTCCTAACATATGGGTTCGTTAGTAGAAAATGGGTTTTAAATGTTACTAATTAATGTAGTTTTTATTTTGCATTTTTTTGCATATTATGACAAATTTAACTTTATTTGCATTTTGAGGGCATTTTTCATGTTTTTAGAGAATTTCACAGAATTTATCTATAATTCTTAAATATAAGGTATTTGATTATGCGTTTCGGCATTTGTTCGCTCAAAATTTTCACGTTTACGTTTAGTCTAATAATTTTATCTACTAAATTGATAAACTAATAAATACGAGCTCATCAACCCATGTACCTATTTTAAAAATATTTAACAAAATTAATATAGTCGAAAAACATTTTTCTATTTACAAGAATCCAACGAAAATCATAACAGCAAGTTATGAAATATATTTAAATAAAGTTAAAATGTAAATATTATAAAATAAGTACATATTTTGTTATTATTAGGTTTATCAAATAAATATAATTAAATATATTTGGTTACATGATTTTTATGGTATGATTTTAAGACTAAAATAAATACATTTTTATACGGATTTTTAGAGTGCATTTTTTATGATTTTCAATAAATTTTTGCATTTTTTGCTATTTTTTAGAGCATTAAAATCCCAGCCCTACTTATTACCCTTGTTGCGTGCCGTCAGTTTAACGGTTCTGAGGTTAGGAAGTGTAATAGTATATTTCAAATAATTACTTATATTAGGTTAAACACTATTTATTGTAAAATATTCTCAGTTTTATACGTTAATTTATCTAATAAAGTTAATTGTCGTGAAAGTGCTACGGACTATAACACATCTGATTATTGGTCTGTTCGAGACTACCTTCTTATCCAGAGCTTGTATGAAGACTTCGTAGTTCG